ACCTTTAAGCTAAAACTTGTCTCTCTTCCTGCCCTTCCTTGTGAAAAGTGAGGGGAAAAACCCACTCAGGAAATAAAAGGTAGGACAAAATATCTTGAAAACAATTGTGGAAACTAATCACAGCATAAAAGATGAATTGTTGTTTAAACAAGACTAAAAAAAATCCTAACAATCCTAAAAATGTTGCAATCCCAACTGTTCTCTCTTTGGCTGGAGGGATCCATGCAGTATGTGGTTTGCTCAAAACCTGTTCTACATCAAACCTCCAAGGAAATAAGATGCTTACTGCTGCTAGTAGACTCTGAGGCTTCTGAGGCAGTAGAAATATTATCTGAAAACTTTTCTTCTGTTGCACTGAAGTCATTAAGACCTCCCAGTTTGTCTTCTCCCTGTTCTGAAGCATTGGCTGCAGCAGCTACCAGGGAATTCTTACCTCCACTCAAGACAGATGAAGGCTCTATCACAACTGGATTTGCATCCTAAAATTGGTAGGCAAGCAGAAAAGCTAATTATAAGCTAGTAACAAAGATACATCAGTCAAACCAAGCACCAAAATTCACAGCTGAGTGACCACTTTGGCATATCACAAGAAGAAAAAAAGACTTTCTGCATCTACTGATGAGAAATCTGCTGAAACAAAGAGGCAAAATTGCCAAGTCAATGGAACAAACCTGCCCAATACCAAAAAATGTGAAATACCAGCATTATTTTTTCTAGCTAGACACAAAAACACAACCATTTTAGACATGTATAATTACAGCCTGGAAATATTTGAAGGTTTGTCCTTGTTGAGTTTCATGTGGTTCAATGAGAACAGCAAACCCAAGGACAAAAAAAACATCCCTGCCTCAAACCTTCCCCAGAACTTCTGAGCTTGCTGGAGGGAGACAGTGACTAATGGCCTTGTGTCCTCCTGCAAAGGATTAGGGATGAAATCCTGTGCACATCTGAGCACTTCCACCAGGATCAGGATCGAGTTACCTGGTATTTCAGGCACTTCAGCCATCAGTTGTCCAGTGCACTGTGCACAAAGACCAATTGTCATTACATGGGGAGTTATTGCTCACACTGCAGCTGATTATTTTAGTTATTTGTGTCTATAAAACTACTCAAATTCTTCTCGAATTACTCATCACTATGTAAAACTCTTCTGAGAAAAAGCTGATTTCATTTGCTTAACCTGCAGAGAATATTGATCTCAACCTCAATTAAATCTTATTTCATCTAATTTTATTGAGTATTCTATAAGCAAAATTCATAGTGGTGCTTCAACATAAAGATTTCAGGTTTTAGTAGGACTTCTCTGACCATCATTGGACTACTTTGTGCCATTGCCTCTAAACCAATTCCCTCCTTTATGTGCCCAGAAAATTCAGTGTGGATCTGTGGCTCAAGCAAAGTCAAACCCAAAATGTGCAGCTTAATGACCAAATGGATCAGCAGACTTGAGAGAAGAACTATTGTGAGACTATGTTTTTACTCCAAAAAACCCATTCTGAGATGTAGGAATGATGAAGGAGATGACACTTTAATGCAATTACAGCGAAGAGCTCACCATGGAACAATGATTCAGCACAACAATTATTTTCCACCAAGAGACAAGAGATGCTTCATTTCAAGCATTAGTGGTTAAGCAGTTGTTTGCTTCACACTGTTTTTTCCATCAACACATGCACAAACACAAGAAATCACTCATTCAGCATAGATTGTTATACTTACATATTTGACATATTCTTTCCACTGGTGCCACCAGGGCATGGCAATGAGAAACCAGTTGTGCCCTGGCTGGAGCCCATACCTGCTTTCTCTTTCTAACCAGCCTCTGCACAGAGAGAACACAAAT